TCATAATAAATTACCCGGATAACCCGGGTAATTTAATAATACCCGGGTAGGGATTTTCTCAACGGGTCCAACCTCTAAATGAGATACACGAAGAAAGAATCATTATGTTAGAATCTTGAAGCAGTATCAAAAGATGTGTTGGAAAGTAAACTGAATATTTAGCTTTGGAAGCTCGAAAACAAAATTAGTTGCCAGCTAACTAATTTGATTGGTTAATAATCACATTTAGATTAGTCGATCGGGCGTCCAATGGGATTCCAGTCTTCCAGTGGCAGTAGACAAAATCTCAGGTCTAAATATGTACTAGTTATCAGTCGTGTCGTAGATGATAACTGATTGTTCATCTACTAAAGACTCGACTGATAACTTCGTTATCCGACATATCTGAAGTAAGCACTGAGTGATTTTCGTGTAACTTATCGGTCACTTCCTAATAAATACAAACATTCACCTCGTAAGAGGTGAGTGTCAGTGATCACAAAGGACTAATTTTATGTATTAAGTAAAATTCAAATTTATTCAGAACTTGTGTTGATTTAGAACCATAATTTGATTTTAACATGCGACAAGAACGGAAGATAGAGTGTAATAGTAGATGTTAAATTTTACTATCTAATACACGTTAAGCTCTTTGATATTTAATCGGTGAATACCCGGATATTCAATTCGATGTATATTCGGATGTTACGGACATGTGATTTAAATTGTTACGTAGTACGTACAGTTTAAAAAATTCATTTAATTGTTAACCGCACATTTGTACGTGCGTACGTCCGAACCTTGTACTGCCTCTTTTTCTGTGGCGACTGTACTTACTGAATGTACGTACAAAATTAAAAATGACTACACAAACACGTAAAATATGGCTAGTAGAAAAAGCCGGAAGTTTTAATAATTTCAAACAAGAACATGAAGAATTACCACCGCCTCCTCCTAAACATGTTCGCATTAAAGTTAAATTTGTAGGTCTTAATTATGCTGACATTTTTTTAGTACTTGGTCTTTACTCTGCTGTTCCTGAGGGAAAATTGATCCCGGGCCTCGAATATTCAGGAATAGTTGAAAGTATAGGTGATGGTATTAGTGAAGACTGGTTAGGAAAACGCGTTTATGGAGTTTCAAGGTTTTGTAGTTATGCAACTTATATTAATGTTCCAGTAACTTATGTTAAGAAAACACCCGATAATTGGACTGATCAACAGGCTTGTGCCTATCCAGTAAGCTTAAATATCTAAAATTTTTGATCTATGTGCCAAGAACAAAATAATTAATAATGTATTAATTGTGATGCAGGTCCAAACGTTAACTGTTTATTATGCACTTGAAGAACTTGGACGACTTAAACCAAATCAAAATGTTTTAGTACACTCTGCTGCAGGAGGATGTGGTTTAGCAGCACTTTCCATTCTTAGCAAGAAATCGGCAAAAGTTGTTGGTACTGTCGGTACATCATCAAAACTAGATTTATTGAATCAAAAATACGGTGAAAATCCCAAATTTACATTTATTCTTCGAGAGCCTGCTAAAGATTTTGAAGATCGAGCAAAACAAGCTTTGTTAAAGATAGATCAAGGAGGATTATTTGACATAGTATTAGATAGTGTAATGGGTGATTGGTTTTGGCCAAATTATAATTTATTAAAGAAAGAAGGCAAACTAGTTGTATATGGGTCTGCAAGTTTTACACCGACTGGAAATTTACATCCTATATCGGATATAATTCATTGGATAAAATTGGGTTGGAAATACATTTGGAGACCAAAAATTGATCCTATGCAACTTATGCAAGACAACAAGACTGTAGGTTATTTTGAAATCTTTAGACCTTCCTTGGTTTTTATTTATTTATTATATATATATATATATATAATCACATCTAGGTCACCGGTTTCAATTTAATCCATCTATATGAATCTGAAGAACGGATGAATAAGTTGTTTGAACAACTTCGAACTTTAGAATTAGACCCACCATCAAAAATTAATGAATTTGAATTCGATCAAGCTGTAGAAGCATTGACATATTTCAAATCAGGAAAAAGTGTTGGTAAAATTGTTCTCAGGGTACAGCATTAAAGTAAATTAAAGTCTTGTGATAAATAACATATGATATGTACACTGTATATTTCGACATACTTTTATTTATTTTTTTAAAATAAAAAAAAATAAATGTTTTTTGACTTGCCGATACTACTAAATTTGGCTGGATCATTCGGCGGTGTAAATCGGCTAATCACGTATCAGATTACATTTCAGCACCACAATGATCTCATATAAACATTGTGGCTTTCCATTTTTTTCTCATTTGTCGCATTTTACCAAATTAAACGCCACCACTCATATAAAAGGATTTTTGTACACGATTATCTTTCCATTTCGAAGTTCATCCGATAATAAGTCACTTTCGATTGTTGTGTCAATGTGCCATGGCTAAACTTGAGACCCTTCTTTTTTGGCCTCTTTACTCACAGGTAACGTAGTTTTAAATCTAAAAATAGAATACAGAACCCGAACCTCGTTAACTAGTATGGCTCCGTCACACCATCACTTCTTTCGTCATACTTTACAAAACCTGTATTTAACCGGTATAATTCCATTTTTGTTTAGTCATATTGCAGTGAAATACAGATGTTCATGCAAGTTACCTTTGCACCCCTTTTCTCGCCTTAGTTGGCTGTGCCTGAGTTGGACCTTTTAAAAAACCACAATTTTCCTCCCCCACCGCTTCTCATTGTACACATAGCCTTTCTCAAGCCACACTTTGCAAATATCATAGTTTCTCAACAAATTTTTCCCTTTTATTTAAAATATGGACAGCGTCAAAGTATCAAAAGCTAATACTCATGGCGCTAAAGACAATACACAAAATGAAGTTAATAGGGAAGAAGCCTCAGCTTCCCACGTTGACTCCACTGCGCCTCCCAACGCCGCTTCGCCTAATGCTTTACCAACTCTCACCCAAGTAACAGATAATTCTTTACACATTCCCAAAGTAGAAGCACAACCACAGCAACTTGCTGTTACTGGTTCAAATAAAGATAATTCTATTTCCCCTTCAACTACCTCGATTGTTCCTTCTCAACCTTCAACTGCTGTAACGGTTAGTTGGTCTTCAAACTCTCCCTCTGACGGAAAATCAACAATGTCAAATTCTTCTATCTCCGATTCTACACAAAAACAAGCCCTTTCAACTCCTCAAAATGATACAACCAATGATCCAAAAGGTAACTATTTTTATTTAATATATATTAAAGTATATGCATATATAGAATGTTTTTTTTTTTTTTTTTAGTAAATAATAAAAAGATTCATCCATATGAATGATTAACTAAAGTTGATTTTTAATAAAATCTTTTTACCTATTATTAAATATCACTAGAGTTGATTAATTTTCCATCTTCTACACCTATAGACTCTACTCAACTAGGATCATTCAATCAATTTTCTGTTAATCCAGAACAAACGACTCTTGGTCAACCTAATAGTCCCAGTCCTGCAAAGGCAAAACCATTCGTCTGCGGGACGTGTAATCAAACATTTAGTCGACAACATAATCTTAAATCTCATGCTTTAACACATTCTCAAGAAAAACCTTTTCAATGTAATATATGTCAGCATTTCTTTCGTAGGCAACATGATTTGAAAAGGCATATGAAGTTGCATACAGGTGAAAAACCGTATCAATGCACTTATTGTAAGAGAAGTTTTGCAAGGTTAGATGCATTGAATAGACACTTACGAGCAGAAAGCTTTTGCGGTGGTCCACAGAAAAAATTATATCAAGGTTCAGATTCAAAGTCGGCAGAGCAAGTACAGCAACAGCCACCAGTTCAACTTTCGCCACAACAAACTACGCCACAGCCACAACTAATGTCTACAACTCAGCCGCAATCAAAGACAGCATTACAATCTGATCCAAAATCAAATTCATCGCCAGTATCTCAAAAACAAGTACAACAACAACAATTCAAGCAGACTTCAGAAGAACCACCGAACAAGCAGGTATCGAATCCATCGACCAATTCTCATTCAAAAATTGACTTATCGAGACAAACTCAAGATTATTACAAACGACAGCAAATGATGAACCAGGAATATCATTCATGGTCTCATCAATTAAAAAATCAACAACCATCATCTAATCAACCTAATGCAATACCAACAAAATCAATCACCTCAAACATCATAATTCCAAATAACGCACATCATCAGATCATATTTCCAGTAGAAACACCCACATCCATACCTACCAACGGTGCTACGCCTCACTATCAATTACAATACGCGCATAATCCCGAATTTAATGTACAAATTTCAGATACACGAAGGGCACCTGAATCATTGGTACCAAACGAACAGCAAGATATTGATGGACGCATTATTCATCCTAAATCATCATCTCAAAGAGATATGCAACAATTACTTGAAAGAAATAAATACCTAGAGGATCGTGTACGAGAATTAGAAAATGAAGTTATTAATGAACGTAAATTACGTGATCGAAGAGAATATTTGGAACAAAGGGTTACAGAACTTGAAATAGAGGTATGCATATTAAATGGTTATTTTATATCTCATCTCAATGATTATTGTATCATATACTCAATCATTTTTTCTTACCTTGACAATTAAATAGAAAAATCTTCTTAAATCTCTTTTATTGGAACGTAATGGAACACCTGAAACTAATCATATTCATGAAAAGAAACGCAAGGCAACATCACCAATTGAGCCACCAAATCCATCAAAGCATCAAAAGGATGGAGACCGCATTATAATTCCGCAGTCATCTCAATAAATGATTATGATTTTTTATTATATTATTATTTTTTTTTTATCGAACTTTTTAGAGTTCGATGGAGAAAACATATGCGATCCTAATTTAAGGATCAATATAGTACATTATGACTTGAAGTATTTTTTTCGTTTATTTTAATTATACTGAGTAAATAGTCTAGCAAATTAAATTGTGAAAAAAAAAATTCAAATACGATATTGGAATGTATTATGAGAAAAGTTTGAATCCTTTTTAAGTCGTAGGGTATATATATAATTTTTTAAAGCACAATATCGTATAGTATGGTGCATTGTATCATAAAGAACTATGGTGCGAACAGTCTAGGAATATAAAACACGATCAAATTTGCAAAAAAAAAAAATTTATTTACTATTAGAGCTGAAAATTTTTAAAATTGCTTTATTTAAAATTGTATCTTTTCAATAAAAAAAAAAAAAAAAATTAAATAAATATAATACGTAGTTTGATAGATCTTATTAGAAACTATTAAATTACGTATTTTTTTTCTGCAGTTTTTTAAATTTTTTTGATTGAATAGATACAATTTAGAAAATAAAATAATGGATGTTCGCTTATGTACCATTATATCATATACACAGGGTACCTACCTGTAATTATTCAAAGTTATAAGGTACGAAATTGCTAAGTTTCAAAGATGATTCAAGATTTTTAGTGTCGACATTTCTCCAGGCTGGAAGGAGTTCTTTAACATTTTCAGGAGCTATATCTGGCCAATTATTTTTAATAACATCCATAGCTGAAACAAACAAAGTCTAAACCACATAACAGTAAAAAAGTCAAACATGATGATGATGATTATTATGAAAATGATGATGAAAAATCTTAATGAAATGAGATAAATTCAAACCTTATTTCCAAGAGAACTTAAATGTAAACCGTCAGATAAATAATCCTTCACCGTCACATGATCATTTATAATTTTCCATAGATTTACAACAGGAACATTTAATTCCGAGGCAGTTTCAACACAAATTTCAGCGTACTTTTTAGTGATATCAGCCTTCCTATTCATACTTTCACCTCTAGAAGCGCAAGTTTCTTCCCAAGAATTTTCATCCAGAGGTGGGGGAGTAATAAGTAGAATTTTTGTTTCCGGATTATAATAAGGAGAAACAGGATTTTTAATCAAATTCACCATATAAATAAGATTTTCTTTGTATTTATCAATATTAACATGCTGAACAGATGATTCTATGGCAGAATCGTTTGCACCAAAAAAGATTATTAATAAAATAATTTTA